ACTGTTGTGGACTCATAAGGTGTAGCCAAGTGTTTCTGCAACAAATGTACCATCATCGACATCAGCAAATTGGCCAATCAGATGGCAACATTACTGCCAATTGCTGTAAAAAATTATTTTTGGAACACCTTGGTTTAAAACATTTCGGGGGTTAAAAGAGAGAGTACATACAGTGTACACAGACCAAAGTCCTGAGAATGCAACCCCAATCTTGAGATAATGGGCTGATGAACAAACTGCTTTCTGAGTTAATTTTATTTAAAAGGTAGCTTTAATGATGAAAAAAAAAAGCAGATTAATACAAATACATCATTTTAACAATTTGTTTTCATCAAATCCCTATTCTAAAATTTCCTTATTTAGGCTGTTTGATATATCTATTTTTTTATTTTTAGAGATTCTATGTGTTGTTGCTGGCGACCCCCAGGGAGGCAGCAGCCTATTCTTTACAATAGCGAGAAAAAGCCAAAATTTGTCGGATGTAAGATCGGAGACATCCGCAGTTGATTGCGTTTTTTTATATCTGGGGAAATATCGATCGATTTCGAGCAATAATAATAATGATGATAATAACAACAATAACAACATTTATATAGCGCGCACATCAAAAGCTTCTCGTGGCGCTTTACAATACTATAACATAACCTAACGCACATAAATAAAATTCGATCAAACAGAAGAGAATTCCTAGTTACAAATTTTGAAAAGAGAAAAGTCTTGATGTTCCTTTAAAAAGTAGTTACGGAGCTAGATTTACGAATTGAAAAAGGAATACTGTTCCACAACTTAGGTGCGCACACAAAAAAAGCTCTGTCCCCGTATGTCTTTGTCTTTGACACAGGTTGCACAAGATAGTCCATAGAGCTAGAACGTAAAGATCTTGATGATAACTTGATCTTGAGTAGATCAGAAACATATGATGAACAGAGACCATTGACAGACTTGTACACCAGCAACAGAAACTTGAACACAGTACGATAAGAGATAGGAAGCCAGTGATGCTGCACCAGTAAGAGAACGACGTGATCATATTTGCCCTTGCAAGTGACAAATCGAGCAGCTGTATTCTGTATTTTCTGTATTTTATGAAGTTGATGCTTAGGTAAGCCATAGTACAGATGATTACAATAGTCAATACGCAAAGTAATAAAAGCATTTATAACGTTTTGAGGCACAGTCACTAGTCAGATAACGACGTATCCTGAACAGATTTCTTAGGTGAAACAACGAGGTTTTGAAGAGATGTTTAATTTGATCATCAAAAGTCATGTTGTTGTCAAATATAATACCAAAGTTGGTAACTGACTTAGCAATGGAGATATTTTCATTTCCAAGAATAATGTGATCAAGCGAGACTCCATTTCGGAATTTAGAATGAATTAAGGATGCATCGGTCTTATCCTGATTTAAATTTCAAGACATTATCTTGCATCCACCGGCGAATCTCAGTCACGCAGGCAACTATACGCTCGATAACCAAATCCACGTCACTGGTATCAAAAGACTACATCTGGGTGTCATCAGCATAGAGGTGGTAATTAAGATTGTATTTCTTGATTATTTCCGAGATAGGGGAGGTGTATAATAGATAGAGTACAGGTCCGAGTACAGAACCTTGAGGAACACTAACTAACAGGTCGCGCGCAGAGGATTGAGATTGATCAATGTCAACAAAATGAGTGCGTTCGCAGAGGTATGGACTGAACCAATTCACAACAGTGCCTTTAATTCCGAAACGTTTTTCAAGTGTCACCAACAAAAAGCTTTGGTATACAGTGTCAAACGCAGCAGACAGGTCCAGGAGAATCAGGATCACATTCTTGCCTTTATCAAGAGATAACATGATGTCATTGTGTGCTTTCAAAATTGCAGTTTCAGTGCTATGCAGAGTCTAATATGCAGACTGCAGAGGTTCGTGTGGCGCATTGGTAGTAAGATATGTGTTAAGTTGCTAAAAACACAGCTTTTTCAATTAGTTTGGAAACAAATTTCAGATTGGACACAGGACGAAAATGAACGAAATCCCCAGAGTCAGAATTAGATTTCTTTAACAATAGCTGTGTACAGCCGTCCCGCTCTGCTAGAAATCAAGGACACGATAAATGACACACTGGAAATACATTTACGAAAGGTTTCCTGGGTCTCTTAAACCGAGTCCTGGCATTTGTTGCGTTCTTTTCTTAACTCGAGAAAAAAAGTTTGGGTTCTGTTGTTGTTTCACAAAAGCCCTTTAAAACTAAACTAGTTGGAAATATCATGATTCTCTTTTAAAAAGCCACATCAACCCCTATTATACCGTTTATTTGAAATCGTGTTATCAGGATTTCCTTCAAGCTCTGACGCCAGCATCCACTTTCACATTGAAAAATTCTAGTTTACATCTCGTAAATAAATAAGATTGAGCCTCCACATATTGGGGAAGGTTTCCCTTCTTAGGGGTCTTATACCAAAGCATTGTTCCTTTTTTCGGTATCTCTTGGTGATCTGCTTTAACAACTGGAACCTACACAAAGGAAATTTGTGGCTAAGATATATTTTTTCTTTAGTTTTTAGGGATAATCAGTGTGGCAGTTGTAATACATCACGCGTTGTGGTTTTTAACGCGCATGGCTTGGTTTCTGAGTTGTTCTTATTGTTCTTTAGCTCGTTTGAGGATAATTTTTAACAAGATAAGTTCCCCCTTTGAAAGAAAGAAACATTAATTGATTTATTTCTATTCACGCAGATCTCTACGGCAGAAAGAAAAACCGCATGATGTCCATCCTGGGCGTCGGTCGAAATGCGGGCGCAGATTGGTAAATCGTCACTACCATCGTCACGTTACTCGTCATTAAACGTCCCTATGGTAACTGGAAGTATGTTTGTTGTGGTTGTTTGTTTTGGTGAATTCATCGGTTGCTGAAAGCAGTAGAGCTCATTACATCAATGTTTCTTTGAAAAGGTTTTGTCAGAAATCACGATGGTTGTACCGCAGAAAACTGAGAATCAGTTCTACGCAGATATTGTTCGCAGCCTCAGGCAAAATTTCCGTTCCGAGCCTCAATTGTCGGTAACTCGGGGCGAAAAAAAAGTACGAATTCGCACGAACCGTCTCTACAAGTCAGCACTAACAGAAGATCACTGGAGAGATAAATATAACAGGCATGTTAAACAGCGACTGCGTGGATTTTACACGCCGGCTCATGTACCATATGCTTCGGTTGGTGATGTTTGTTTGGATACGCGGGACTTGGTCATGAAAACCGTTGGATTTGATCAAAGCTCGGAAAAGGTAGGACAGAAAATTTACTCTACATTTATGGCGCTCATCTTCCGGGTGGTTCTCCCACTTTAGGAAGTGAGCTGTTTGGTTGCGGTCGATCGGCTGAAGTTTTGGTGTCTAACCGAAAATTAGAAATATCGGTGAACTTTTGCGCGCGCAGATTCGTTAAAAACTTACGCCAGACTGAATTTGAAAGAAAATTTAAAGAAATCTTAAAAGACGTACGTTTCGGTAAACTTTGAGAGTCAAAAATTCAAATAGAAAAAAACATCATAGATCGTACCCAAGGGGGTTCGTAATTGGCTTCAGTTTTAATTTGATTTATTCAGTTTTATTCAGATCTATGATTTATTCAGTTTTAGTTTTTATTCAGTTTTGATTTATTCAGTTTTAATTTTATTTGATTATGCAGACCTTGTTTGGGGAGACAAGAATAATGTAACCTTAATGACTTGTTTGCAAGTCTAGCAGAATAAGGCTGCTAAAATGATTTTAGACAGACCTCTTTGTTCATCTGCTACGCATGCACTTGCCACTCTTAAGTGGGTTCCATTAGAAAAAAGGTGTTTTCAGAGAAGATGTATTTATATATATATATGTTTAAATGGGCTTCTTGGGCATGATATGAACTTCATGAGACAGCGTGAACAACATGATTATAAATACCAGAACTAAGCTAAATCTCAGACTTCAAGTGTCAAGAGGAATTGTGGTAAACAACGAACAGCATTTCATCCCATATAGGAATTTAACTCTCTTAGCCAAGCAATCAGGCAATCCGTTAATTTTAATATTTTTAAACGTAATCTTTTAAATTTGTGACTTAAATGAATTTAATACCAAGTTATTTTTAAATCTTTGATCCAAATGAATTTAAGTTAATGTGTTAATTGTTTTTTATATTTTTTTTTTCATATTTTTAATTTTAATGTACGAATTGTTTTTTGTATTTTGTATTTTGTATCTTTTTGGAGATCCTTTTTGAAAACTATATTTTATAAGAAAAAGTCATCTCAATAAAGATTATTATTATTATTATTATTAATTCTAACTGTTTGATCATGAGTAGCTTATTAGTGCAAGTTTGTAGACCATTCATAAAACATCCTCGACACGGAGTTCAGTGATAAAGGTTAACAACTTCAGCCTCCATTTTTCAATGGAGTCTGTCATTAAAGACATGGTTAATATTTCGCATTCTGTACCATCATCTTCCCTTTTCATCGGAACATTCTTGCCCCTCCAGAGTCTTTTTGGAGGGTGGTATAGGGTATTTTCGTGACTCATGAATGGCCTATTCTTTTTTTCCCGTGAAACCTGAAATGACTTGCTTTTTTCTCGTGAATCGTGATTTCATTAGTGGCCTTGAACCGTGATTCTCTGTCATTTCTCGTGAATTGTGAAAGGACTAAGTTATTTTCTGTGAGACGTGATCTTGAACCCTCCTCCCTTTTACCACCCTCTTTTTACCCAACAAAACGATTTTCTATGGTCTTATTATGTGTGAATTAAAGGTATTCCTTATGACTCAAAGTACTGTGTGGTAGTTCTTGCTGGCTTACATGTTAGGAGTAACGAATCAATTTAGTACTTACTTCAGTACTCGTTTTATGTTTGGAAATTTAGTGTAACGTCAGTGTTGTAGTTGATTCAAACGAAAAGGACAAAAAGAAAGAAACGGACGGGGAGAATACTACTCAGAAGGCAAGTACATATATCTTATGAGACGTTTTGTTGTGTAGTATCGCATGATTTTTACGAGTTCTGCCGTGATTTCATTAATAGCCGAAATAACGAGTAAAAAATACTCAGCGATACTACACAACAAAACGTCTACTAAGTTATTTATTATCCAACACGCCAAACTGTTATTTCAGTGCGGGCGAATCTCGCGGATATTTATTTACGGGGAGTGCGTGACAGAAGTATGCGAAGCGGAACGGAATTGGCGCGTTGTCGTGTGGCTATTTCTATTTTCTTCAATAAATGAAGAAATTTCCAGGTCGTCTAGCTGTTTTTCTTCGTTCGATTCACCTAATAAACTTGGATGTGTATTTGCCAGCCATTCTGACTCTTCGTCGTCGGAAATATGATTCAAATTGTCTGCCATTTCTTTTTTCGTAACTACCATTCAATTCTTCGCTTGCGCGATGCGAGAAAACCTGTTTAACCGGTACTCTAGAGTACAAATACCGCGTGATATTTGTACTCGTCTATGGCGTTATTTGTACTCTACGAAGTGTAGTTGGATAATAAAGTTCACTTATCCATTTATTGCCATATCTAACCTGATTTGCGCGTTAATAAGATTAGATCTCTTGGATGCTTTAATAGGTCCTCGAGAAATTGATTTTTGAGATATCGTCCTGACGAGATACCGTTTAGAGAGGAGTGCACGTTAAATAGGTGAACAGGGTGTTGATTGAAAGTTTACTTAACGTTAGAATGCGATTTATTTTTCCGCGCTGAAGCTTTGCTCAGATTTGATGAATACCGTGTATTTCTTTGTTCGGAAACCTCGCAGTTTTCAAATGGAAACCAATGATATAGGTAAGAAGAAAGAGAGGGAGCAGAACTCATTTAAAACCTGAAGGTGGCGCTGACATGGGGAGACGCACTTTATGCAGAGTGATGTCACTAGGAGCACTTTCGACATTTAGACTCACCCCGTCAAGCTAAGTGACACCTGGGGGTAGCGGGGATATTCGAAGGATTTCTGTTTTGTCACGATAATTTTCCCTCATCCTCCCCAGTGCCTCTATAGGGCCCTGTAATACTAAATTGCATTAAATTGGCAGTCAATTGTCCCTAGTTTCCCTTTTATGCTCTATTGGCGAAAACTGGTCCCCTCCGTTCCGCCTGACAAAACAGGTGATGCCCCACCCCTCCACCCCCCATAAAATACTTTAACCCCCTCTTGAGTGATCACTCGTGTAGGTGTGGCTTGAAAAGCTTGCGCTGACATGCCTTCGTTTTATTCTATTTATCGCCAATGAAATAGAAATCCCAAGAATTCAAGGGGCGAGCATATTTTTCGCTGCAAGGTCAAGGAGGATTGCGTGAAATAAAAGAAAAGCTGTGTCAATGTCGAGACAGACTTTCAGCCTTGCAAGCCGGGCAGTCATTTGAGGAATGTCTGAGGAAGGAGAATATCATGTCCATGGTTAGTTATCTGACTTATTTCTTTAAATCAAATGATGATTGACCGTAGCAATTTCTCCTTAAAATATAAATACAATGCTAAGAAGACAAATAATGAAATATATATGCTTAATGACCAAACGTTAGGTCAAGATGGCTGGATAAATTAAAGGCCGAGTTATTATCTTTTTTCTAAAGAAAAATGTTCATTTGAGTGTTGAAAGTAATCAGACCTTGCAATGGTTATGCTTTACTTCGCTCTGTGATTGGGACCGAAAACACGCTCCAAAGCTTCACCAAAACTATACCCAATCACGACTTGCATTGGTCGTCCAAGTTTTCCCGCGCTTTTGGGGCAGTTTGGTAGGTGTTACATCTAGTATCGATCACCTTTTACCTTTTAATACACATGCGCATTGCCAAGAATATATGATGTCCATGCAGGTGGTAGATGCCATGAAGGGACCTCAAGGTCAGCTGCAGATGACGGAGCCATCCAGTTTATCACCGAGTAAAATGAAGAAAATGTTCAACAAGCTCAGGTCATCTGATGAAGCTGATGGACAGGGGATTGGGGAAGAGTTGATTGCCGCCTTCTCTAGTGAGATAAAATCAGAACACGAGGAAGAGGTTATTGATCAGAGGTAAGTTATTGAGCAATAACTGGTTTCTGCTGTTAGGAAATAACAAGTCAGACTTCGCCCAGGACTTAAATTAATCCGATTTCCTCGCGTGGATTCATTCTCGATTAAATTTCGATTTAGCGGTCAGAAACCAGATGAAGTTTGTAACTGACCTAAAATGAAGTCTTTCACTAGCTATACCTGGAAATGGAATCACATGCAATAATTGTTTTGAATATTGTAGCATCAGCATCGTTATGAAAGGTTTCAGGGTTCTCCACCAAATCTCGGGCCGGAGAGCCCGTTAGTCCTCAGTAATGGCCAGCGGCGGCGTTGTTCCCTGAAGGAACTCTGGGAAGATAGAATATTTCTCCCGCAAATCTTAAAAATTAGAATAAACCATCCAGAAAAGATAAATATTTCCACACTTCTTTATTATTCTATACTGATGGAAACCATCTGCTGACCAGCACGGCAAAAAAACCGTAGTTCACTGTTAATTTTACGAAATGGTGAATGTCTGAGAAATTCAACATTAAACTAACGTTTTCCGATATCTGAAAACGTACGGCAAATTCACTGCCCACCCTCAGTAAAACTCCTGAAAATACGCTGTTTGCAGTGCGTTAACCGAATGGTTAATGCCGGAAAATGAATAGTTTACCTGCATTTACCGCGAAGGAAAACTACCGAATAATGGAACGAATACTGGAATTCACCTATGCGAAAACGCACAGAAAACGTCGGATTTTCCGCAGGCAAAACACTGGTAAACGTTAGTAAATTGCCACGTTTTCTGTGAATTCAAATTTTGTTTTCCGTACGGTGAACGCTACTTTTTTTGCCGTGCAGGGAACTGGTGGACTTGAGATACCAGTCAACCACGTTAACTTGAATGGCGAAATAATTCATTAGGGACATGCATTAATCANCTTAGCAACCTCCCGCGTGCATCCATAACTCAATAGTGTACGCTGTGGTGTTTACCATTTGTTAATTATAATTTCGAGAATGGCTTCATGCGGCCGTCTTTTACGGCACTTCACCCCAACTTCAGCATAATTTATATAAGCAGAGTTAACTTCCAAATGGAAATTACAATAATTTGTCCTCGCGGTTTCCGTTCACAGACAACGATAATTTTGTTGATTTCACATTGTTGTTTTGCACAGGACGGCTAAGAAATAAACAAAGTTTATAAACACACGTGCTGAGCCATTGTTCTACCCATTATATAACTAAATCTTTTGTTTTGCCACGTTCTCGTTGCTGTCGCCGTCGCCGTCGCCGTCGTGGGTAACCTAAAGTCCCCATAAAAAAAATTACGCCCAGTATTCATATTGTAAAAATTTGATGTCAAAAAATAACTTCATAGGTGGATTCTTAGAAACAGTTCACTCTGCGGTGAAAAGATCACTAGCTACAAAAGAGTTTGACATTTGTTATGTTTCGTTTTAGGGAGGTGCACGATCGGTATGTTCGTAACTTTAGCAGTAAACTCAGAAGCTTGTACACTTTGCTATGCTATGTGTATCATCTTAGGACAAAAGATTTACGCACTAAGGTGAGAAAAGAGGACCAATTTGATATAATGAAATCACAGAATTACTTAAAGTGCTTGGTGAGTATCAAATTTGATGGTAAAGAATTTAATCGTGTATAAATCTATGTCATATTTTCAAAAAGTGTTTGTTCAAAAAGCCTACGCTTGGAAGCTTCGTTTTCATTCTGGCAATATTTCCACACAGCCCCTTATTTTATCATGCATAGAGTTCATGGATAACAAAAACAACGACGAAAATAACAGATTGCCATAAAGACTACAGCTTTGTTTAAGAATACTATGAGATAAGCGGAGGTCTTTCATTCGTTCTTACCTCACATTCTCTCCTCTTCTACAATCTGTAACTCAAGAAAACGTTACAGGGAAATAACGTTCCACGACGTCTAGCGAGCGTTTGTTCTCTGATTTATCGTAGGAATGACCAATGTCCCATCCGGTTCAGTGCATAAGTTGTAAGCGGTACGTCAAATGATCTCTATTTATCATTCTCCAGATCTGTGGATTGTTAATTAGTCACTACTTAATTAACTTCCAGGTGCCGTTGTCAAAGGACTTTCTTAAGACACTTAAAACAAAGATTTCGACCGATCAAAAAGGAAAGCCTCTGAGACACACAAGAAACATGACCCTCTGGCAACTTCAGCCACACGGTCCTCAAAGATCCTCCACAGATACAACAGTTTCCCGTATGGATCACGATCACCAATTGTCTCCTCAGATGAACACAAGGTCAAGCTTTGTAACTGACTCCCCTTCTTCTATATTCCGCACTGGAATTACAGGATCTGGAGTCACCGAGTCCAGGACATCTTTCATGGGACGCAAATTGAGGTAGAGAATCTTCACATAATTCTTTTTTCTCCTACATCGAACGCTCAGTGGGATTAATGTAATCATTCATGGACTGGTTTGTTAAAGAAGGATTTGTTCAAATACCACTCGTTTTCCCCGGCGCCATTTTAGTGGTTTTGCAGATCAGGACCGCGGGCGTCGGTACTATTTATTTCTTGTAGCGGCCATCTTGGTTTTGTTGTGTTTTGAGGTCGAAATAATTAACAAATGGTAAACACCACAGCGTACACTATTGAGTTNTATTTTATGAAAAGAACCCTCTTACGGAGAATTCGAATACGTAAGGCCCATTACTTCCATTAGACCGCGGTTTGGGTTAGACCACGTGTAAATAACTGATCCATAGGGCATTAAAAACGACTTTCTAGTCTTAATTTGATCTTATCTCATCTATTCTTCTACGCGTGCCCTTCATTTGGCTTTACGCTAAGTAAGGTATATACCGTGGTTTTCCATGTGCGTGGTTACTGAGTTGTTTTCAAAATGGCGACGACCGTGGTCAAATTTTCAGCGCAATTGGAGTCTCTATGCGATCTAAAAACGCGGTGAAGAGTAAAATTGAAAATATATTTAATTTTTTATGGAATCGATAGTAATTATATGCTTTCTGGAAAATACTTTTGATCTTGAATCCTTTAACAGCTACTTATAATTACCTAATCCCATGGGAAAACATAGTGAAATCTGACATGTGCACGTCCAGACGGGTTGACGTGAGCACTGGTCCGTTCAAGAGCCGTCCAGCCCTGCTGCCCTCACGTCACTTTGTTACAGAAACCTAAAAAGGAAATGTGAAATTAAGAAAGTCGCGTTTTGCAAAGAATTGGGAATTTCTCGTTCTGAGTGTGCCCGGTATATCGCCTCCTATTTATAATGGTAATTGAACTAAGTGGAGTGCAATTTGGGCTGAAATCATACGCGTGATTTCAAAATCGAACGAGCACGCAGCGCGAGTTCGATTTGAAATCACAAGTATGATTCCAGACCAAAATTTCACGACACGAGGTTCAGTTACCACTTTAATTTATTACATCCATTTTGAAATCGGCCAAATATAGGACTGCGTCAATTCAAATATTTTACTGATGCAGTACTGAGCCGGTTTTTAAATAAAAAGCGGAACCGGATACGCTTTTACATCTTATTTTGTATCCAAAACAGAAAGACTTTGACGTCATGTGTCAAAAACTCTGTTAAGCGTAAAATGATGCGATTTAGAGAAAAAAATGGTGCGATTTGTGAATAAATCGCATCAATTAGAGCCAATCAGATTACAGGGACCACCAGTGATTTTAAAGTGGATGTAATAAAGGTTGAAATTTTCAACACTTTATGGTCATATAATAAAATCCTTATTGACTGAGTTTTGTTGGGTCGGACGGATGCTGCACTCGGTCCGTACGTCATGACTTCGAGCCAGTTATTTTCCCGTGCGGCCCTCCCACCCAGTCAATAAATACATATTATGTTGCGTTTGACGTCTTAACAGGCGATATGGAGGAATTCTTCATGTCATTCAGAATGCAGCTGCTCAGACAAGTGAGGCCAAGGATCAGCTTCCCATTTGGCATCAGGTTGCGTCTGCAGAAAAAAGTGAGCTTTTGAGTTCTTTAGCTACGTCTCAGTGTACAAATCATATGTCTACTTCCAACAACAAAAACTCAAACTTTGTTTATCCCATAGCATATCAATATTTAACAATGATTCACCAAATTGGAGGTGAATAATTTTTTCAGTGTATACCACACAGATACCAAAGAAATTAGTTTGTGTCTCTCGATATACCGAAAATGGTCGGAAATTAAAGCGAATTAAACCCTTGACTAGCGATGTTATCTCATCTCTGTTCCGAGCTAATGGTACTTGCTATTCACTTCCGAACTAGCCGATCGGCGTGCGCGAAAAGCACTATTTACAATACTGTGTGGTGCAATGTATCAACTAAAACAGTGTGTAGAAATCGTCTTCTATATTTTAAATGTGTAAGGCGGGGGAACTGGCACCCAAACTAACCATGGGGTTAACGAAACTGACGTCTGCCAGTATGCATTTAGATATATACAAATCATAACGTTGGTACGCACTACATCACATGCACACACACACACACACATACACACACACACATCACAATCACGCAATAGTATGGCAACTAAGTTTACCCTTCTAGAGAGATATTATTATAACAGACGGATTTAGCTGGCGTGTCTTAAACTTAACGCAAAATTTTTCTTTCTTGATTTCCAGATGCCAAGGAGAACGGCACCAAAGGACAATTTCCGAAGAGACGGTTAGTTCACTTTCTTCATACAACAAATCCTTAATTTCAGAAAACCTTAGACAGACAGACAGAAACAAATGGAAAGCCTGACCGGTAGACAAACAGAGAGGCCAACCTGACCGAGGACAGACCTGCGGAGAGACCGACTGTAATACGAGCCAATCGACAAACACAAAGACAACAAGACCCACAAACTGACAGACAGATAAACTAACACAGCGTGAGATAAACAGACAGGCAGAAGGAAACCTAGAAGGACATGATGCCGATAAATAGATAGGCAGGCAGACCGGGTAGCAGACAAAAAGACTAATGGAAAAAACTGATGATAAAACCGAGAAAATGAAAACAAATGGTGACAGGTACTTAGCTATATGGAAGGGCGTCGGACGAACCCACTGACTGCCAAAGAGCTAGACAAGGAGAAAAACTGAATTAAAGACGGACTAACAGAGAGACAGATAAACGAACTTTTACAAAAAGACAGTCAGTACTGTCAGTCGGACAGACAGAAGACAGTCAGTCGGACAGACAGAAGACAGTCAGTTGGACAGACAGACTAATAAAACCGCTGATGTAAAACTTACTGTTTGTCCACGATATAATTACGTGAAGAAGCCTTTTTTCCTTTTTCTTTTTGTGTGCTTTACAATAACTGAAAGTAATGAAGATGTAATTAGCATATTGAAGTCCGTGTCTTATTCATTTTACAGCTTAAAGAAGTCCGCTTCAAAATCTGAAAACTCCCTGTGCGATATGATCAGAGAAGGTTTTGATAAAATTCAAGCGAGGTCTGCAGAGCAAGTGGGAGAAAAACTCTCAAAGATCAACAGGTTGGTCCATCTTAAGACAGAAAAACAACTAACAAATACTAATAACAGGCTCCCATCCATTGACACGAAACGTTACGAATGCCATAGGTAGAGACTGAGTTGACTGGCATTCATCTAACGGAAGTCTTCCACTTACTTGAAAATGTTGAAAATTACATCTTGTATCTGTCAATGTATCAGGTACTCAGCTCATGGCCAAAAAATCTTTTAACACATGAACTCCTTCCTTAACCGCCTTTAAGTCTACTTCCGTAGCAAAGCACCTTTTTTTACATAGATCGATCGCGATGCGTCTTCTAATTTGTATCATAATCAATACATTGCCAGAATCTTTATTGGACTTTGCTAGCTCATTAGAGGTATTTTTTTAACAAAAACGAATTTCGAAGATATACTGTTGAAACTATAACTAAACGACTGACATTCCACTAACAATTAATGAGCATTTTGGTTTGAAATCGGACTGATACTTTCATTTAACAAGATTCTTAGCTTCTCTGCCTTGGGAAACAAAACCATTTGAAACTCAAACTCTTCATCTTGCCTCGGTTTTAACTGAAGTGGTACATGTTTGGGCTTTGTTGGATCTTAGTTTGCTTAATTATTTATAATTATGTTTAAAAGGCTCACAAGGGCTTAGAATCTCAAGCATCGAAAATTATCAGTTTAAATTTTCCATGATAATATATAACCTCTTTATTGTAGTATGATATTATTTCCTTGTAATTTACTTATTGTCTAATTTTGGATAATGAAAACGGTCGTCGTTTGGAAGAGAACTCAGGCAGAGACGTTTATGAGACGTAGACGGAAAAATGAAGAAGAATGATACTATGATTTGACACCATTTTATCGACCGAAAGGAAGTTGTAATTGTAAACCAAAAATTGTGCTGACCAACAGTACTTATATCCGGCTGCCGTCCGCGTCATAAAAACGTTAAGCACTTAAGCGTAGGTCTGTGATGAAACTCATTTATCATCTTTAAAGAAAATCTTATTAATCGAATAGGAAGGAAAAGGATTCTTTTATTGCAAAACTCCAGGCGGTTGATCCATATTCGGTCTTTCGAGTGGATTTACAAAGAGTGCGAGAAGCAGACCGTGTAATCAGGGAAGATTACGAGAAGGAAGATGTTAAAAGCGCTCCGTGGTAAGTAACGTGAGAAAATTGATGGTAATAGATAAAAAATAATCAATGAAAGCTCCTATTTTCAAAATCACGACCACAAGCGGCAGTTTAAATGGCACACGTACACACACGCACATACACACACAAAAAAATTCAAAAAAAAAAAAAAAAAAAAACACACACGCACACAAACGCACACGTACGCATACCGTCTAGATATTTTAATGCGGTAAACATCATACCTACAGGTAAGGGAGAAAACCAAAACTCACACTTTAATTACGAGAGTAAAGAACATATATAGAAGGCACATACCTGAAAGAAAAAAACATCCAAACGATAAAAAAAATTGAAAATTAAACAAAAAGCATAAGAAAGGCGTAGGATAGTTAAAGATGAAAACAAAATGAAAGTGGCAAAAAGTGACATTTAGATCATGATGAACTTTCCCAAGATACAAAGGTCTTTTATTGAAGGGATCAAATCTACTTTTACAAATGATTGCTTCGTGTTGTATTGATACACAATGGAGATAGTAAAGCAAATAACCATTGCTTTTTCCATTGTTGGTGCTAAAATTTGGAACAGCATTCCCGAAAGCTATCGGAAACTACCAAAGCACATGTTCAAAAAGAAAATTCAAGCATTACTATTTGAAACTCNACTTGTAACCTGATTTTTGTAGCTTTGAATGATTTTAGAGGTCACATGGCTTTGTGCAACATTTTTCCTCTGGAAATTTTACATCAATGTCTTCTTGGAATTTAGAACCATTCCAAAGTGTTAAGTTATATACTTTTTTTTTATTCTGGATATATCAACAAAGTTGAAATGGTAAATTGGCCACCGTAATGATGACAAAAGCTGACGTTTCGAGCGTTAGACCTTCGTCGGAGCGAATGGCTTTTTTTTATGCTGTTTTGGTTAAGTGAGGATGGACTGCATGTATCTTCTTCATTCCTCTTTGGTATAAGTGCTTGTTGCGTTAATAGGTACAGAGATTTGGAGAATGAGGCCCAAGAACTTGGAGTTGCCAGAGAAGCAGAAGTGATCATCCCTTTAAACAATTTGTATCCTTTTGCTTTTGATGACATTACCACGCTGCCATTTGTCCAGGTTTGTTCTAGAGTTGAATTTTCAAGCTATGATGAAAATCCGCTCGACTGTTGAGCATTAGGTACCAAAAGATGAAGCGACAGCACAACCTTTCTGTTGTTCGCCTCTTAGTTTTCGTATGCTTCTAAAACTGTCACAATTTGAATGTCAGTCCAGGACTGGAAGTATGGATTCCTGAAAGCATGAAGTACGGTGATTGTTTCTCCAACACTTTTCCAAGGCGTAACCCGATTCTATGTAAATCAATATCATCGTATTCCTTTACTTTCAAAAGTCAAGATGGTTTATTTTCGTCTAGCATCTTCATAAGAGGCTAAATTGGCTCTAAAAGTCACTTCTCGATATAAATGGAACTACGAATATTTGAGTATGACTACAAGAACAACTGTACGTTCCTCGTGATCGATTCGAGACTATGAGGTGGTGCTTTGTCCACTTTTTCTGTAACTTAGTCATTTTCATTTAAACCTTTATCTTGCTTACTGCAGGCTAAACTTTGTCTTATCGTTCAATCCTTGCCCATCTATGAACTCTGCTCATTGTCCACATTGGAGGCTCTCAAGGTAAGAGTGACTGTAATTTAAAGTGCCACATATTTCTCTGTAAATTCGGTTGTTTACATTGAACGGTTTTTTTTCTAAGTGTTGATAACTACTGCGCGTGCGTGAAATTAATTTCTGGCCATGGAGTGTCTGCTGAACTCGAGAAAACACTAAACAATTGTTTAACTGGTTTCTCATGTGTTCCTCTTTTAACCCTCGGGGTACAAGCCAGCTCAAGACGGCCCCTAGCCTAAATCACGGCTTGGTATCTGAGCGGGTTACTTACGCTTACGGTCGAGTCGCCCGGGAGTCATATCGCACAGAACCCGAGTTAAAATTTTGGGCTACTTGACTTCGGGCAAGATGACTATATGTAAACCGTATCTGATGCTAGTTTCCATTCCTAATGATGGCAAACCGATTACTTCCTAAACCGGCGCATTTTGTTAATTCGCAGACATTACGTACTTATATATTCTGCGTTATCAGTCAACGCGTCTCTTTGTACTTTATAAGTGACAGCAAAGCTCATTTGAGCTGATCTGAAGAAGATGGGAGGGGGGGACCTCCATCTTATAAACAAAGCACTAGGGCCATGCTGGAGGGGTGTTAGCTTGTGCTCTTGAACGTGCGGATCGAGGGCCAATATTCTGGAGCTTAAGCGCTGACGCTTTTAAGACGCAGATGGCAACTGGATGGCAAATTTAATTTTCTTAGCGTGCATTCAAATGCTGTGTGTAAAAGATTTGTGACAAGCTCTAATTGCTTCTTAGTGTCCTCAAATAGTTTTGTGTTTGTGTTTGGTTTTTGTGTCTTGATTGAAAAACTTATCTATTTATTGATTTTTTTCATTTTTAGTTTCTTCTTGCGAAGATTTTAAATTGCTCTTCTGGGACGTTTAATGAGTGGATGAACCAAAGAAAGCTTCTTCCAGAAGACAAAGTCACGTGAAGCTCCTATGTTATACGGAAAGAAAATCATTCGTAACTTTTTAACTTCTTATTGGCAAGAGTATTTTAAAGTCGGTTTTTTAGAATAGATGTGAGATAGAAATATACATATTTGTTAAAAAAAAATATGAAGCGCATTTTCCTGGATTTGGATGATCTAACTTGAAAGTAAACTTGCACATCATGAATAAACAGAAACTTTGAAATTTTTGTAATAATTAATGATTAACTTGCAGAGATTGTTCAAAGTAAGGCTGAGAGGAAAACAAAAAAAATGTATATGGCAAGGGACAGTTGTGCCTGAAAAAAATATTTACACAGGGATTATTATCAGTTAACAAGCCAAACAGACCTATCTTTACTGACAGATCAGATCTGACTTATTACTACTGATCTATGCTTTGTAAGTCTTACAGTCAATACATGTAATAACACTATGGTGAAACTGACCAATCAATTCACACGAACCAGATTTTGATAACACCTGACTGAGAGGTAACTGGTACTTGATTCTGATGATGACTTCTGCTAAGGTTTTCAAAATGTGAGCAACTGCAACCCACAGCAGTCCTTATAAGCACTAATTTCACCCAAACAATCGGTAGCACTGTCAAGTGCGATCCAAATTTTCATGTCTTAATGCAAGATAAAGCTTATCTACTTCAAGCTATTTTTACACTGATGTAAATTTCATATGCAAGTGAATGCCAGAAGAAAAGCATTTGAAAAATATGTATAAAACGTTATTCCTTTCACATGCTACATTTTCACTTTCGCTCCAATTACATCTTGATGACCACCTGTGAAAAACATGCACTTATGGATGTGTTAAAGCAGTAAGGGCAATTTGTGACTGAACTGGCTCTTAATTTTTTGCTAAGTGGTTACCTAATATGAAAAAAAAAAAAACATAATTTCAAACCATCAATACATGTTTTCACTTTCCAACCAATGCAGCACTACAACTTCCTTGGAAGCTGGTTTCTTTAAGGGTACTGAGGTTGTAACTCATGGATTGTAAGTAAATTTGTATTAACCTGTACAACTCCATTGTTCTGTGATAGAACAAGTGAACTACTTATTCCTATAGACATCATGTTTGACAGAGTCAACTTCAGTTGTCAGTTTAACCTTAAAGTGAGCCTCAAAACGCAATCAAACTGGACTTGGCTTGGTTGTCATAAGATTCCATGAATAGCACTTATTAAGCTATTGCAAATTTCCTCTCTAAAGAAGTACAGAGTCATAAAAAATTGGGTGGCTTTTGAGGCAAGATTGTCCAAGCATTCAAGATGGCTGACCTGCCAAAAATAACTTGGTTATCAAAGGACCAATCTTTGAGGAAAGATCCCCTCAAGAAGCAGATGCAAAATGTGGTGGCATTTTCCTGGCAACTTAAAAAGCTTGCAGACCAAATATGAAGAAAATTTTAAAGACAGTAGCCACCTCCAAATTCCCCTTTTCATTCTCAACTAATTACCCAGAAATTAAACTAGCTGGTGTGAAATAAGTGTAGAAAAACAAACATGGCCTCTAGGGGTATTTACGACAAATACCTGAGTTATAATTCAAAATTGATATTTGAAGAGTTTTGAAATATCAAGAGCAGACTTATTTTTAATCCCTAATACTCTTAGGAAATGAATTTATTTTCTTTATACTATATAAGGCAACTAGTAAAATGCAAAATTGTCCCTTTCACATGTGAGTGTTCAAATTTGGCTGAAATACTTTCAATCTTAGCCAATTGCATTTCAGAAATTTCTGAGCCTGTAACTGTGGCATAAACCTTGGAACAAGAAACCATTAAAAAAAAAAATGGTTTCATGCTCAAAACTCACCCACTGGCCACAAAAGCCATTTAAACTTAAATAATAATCATAACATCACTCTATAATTCATAATAAATGGAGAAAAAAGATGAATGTATTAATGCTACAACCAGCTCTACTGGTAAGTTGTTACTCTAACAATGTATATTGTAAATAAAATAGCAAAATAATATTACATTGACCTAACAATGTTATAAATACAATTTGTTGAAGATTTTTTTCTATACTGTGAAGTGACTGAGGAAAAATTGTAACGATGTTGATTATCAAATTATACTTGCACCACACAACACTTGAGCAAGCATAATAACATTATAATTTCAAATTACATTACATGTAATGTGTATATATCCCACTACCACTGATACTTATCAATTTAAGGATTAAGGCATTGATGAGGCTATTATAGCCACCCAATTTTATAAAAAACTAACTACACCTAAGGAAGAATTATTTTAAAATGCAATGACACAATTAGTTTGAAAACTACCTAGCCATTTGTTCAATAGAGTCCACAGAGTCTGGGATCATTTCCCCAGGGCTATCATAGGTAAAGGTGGAGGTGTTCACAGGTTTGTTTACCATCCAGGATAGGTACATATTCCAACAAAGAGACACCCCTTGGACAAAATTAGCTCGCAGTTGGACAGGGACAAAAGTAAAATTAATTGCTTGTACAAATGGCCACACTTTGTATCCTGTGATCAGAGTTCTTAAGTATTTCTCTTCAAGGATTTCCTTTATCTCATTGACATCTTTCCCAGACAGAGTCCCGGATAAGCTATAGAAGAAAAATATTATAAAAGGACCATAAACTGTTTGGTCGACGACAAGTTTCTTGAGAATTTGTATCTTGGATGTAGGTGGTATAAGGCGCTCAAGCGTTAGAAACCATGTCCTTTGAATAGGCCCAATAATGACTCCCATTATGCACATGCGAAGTGTTCTTCTAAAATCGTGATGCAATTCCTTCTTTTCGATAATTTGCTGAGTCAAGATGTCACTTGTACTAAACATCACAGCTAAAAAGATAAAATGGATGTAAACGTTCCCATCTTGGAAAAAAAGGACTAATTCATTGGATTAATCTTACCAGTAGTCAATGTTTGAGTTCTCCATGGATGTGTGGTGAGATATCTTTGATATTTTGCCCATAAAGTCGAAATAACACTCATATTTTAATGGCCGCTAGAGCAGTAACCCCCAGGCGTCATATTTAAAATAATTTCGTCTCGCATTGAGACTGGTTCGAGTTGAACCGATTCTCTCCCCAGTCTTTTACGAGCAAAACTGATGTGTTGACTTAACGACTTTACATGACGTAGAACTAGCCTTCGTGTAGCCGTACCCTTCCCAAGAGGAGAAACGTTTCTCCTTGGGGGAAGGTTACGGCTACACGTGGGCTACATTAAACAGTTAACACCTGCTTTGTAATCGTAAACAAATAAGGGAATTTTCCGTGACCATCAAAGGCCCCAAATTAAATAAAATGTGACCTACATTTGTATGTAAAAAAAGTCATCTGATTTCTATTTTACGAAATTTATCTCTCAATATGATTGAAAATTTGGATATAAGGCGACGCATGATTTTGCGATCATTATTATTTGTTTTGTAATATAGAATATTAAGATGAGAGTTATCATCGCAGTTATGAGCAACACTTAGGCAGTTGTGAAAATCCAAGCCTGAAAAAAACAATTTCGGGGCTCGTACGGGAGTAGAACCCATGACGTTTGCAATACCGGTGTTGTGCTCTAACAACTGAGCAATAAATTCAACGGGAAGCTAGTCATTTTGTCCGTTCAACTATAGTATGTAAACTATAGTATATATTAATCAACTTTAAAATAGACTTTTAGAACCAAACGCTATAGCAGGTCATGGGGCAGGTTGTTCTGTGTTCTTTTTGGGGTGGGGAGGGGTGGTGTTCTAACCAGCTTTAGCCACATGTCAAACCCACGGGTTCTGTTCGAGATATTGAAAATTTATGACTAGAAAAGAAAATCATAACCCTTGTCTGAACTGGATACAAAGGTAGGGCATTTTTTTTATTACTTACAGACTGAGCTTCCAATGTATGCGTTATACAACTGACTATTTTGAGTGAATCAATTGATTTTCTAGACTGTCAATCCGGCAGTGATTAAATATGTCCAAATATTAGGTGAGAGAAAATTCAAGATTCCGTCCATCACCTGACCACTCCCGAATGTGATCACATATGCTTGGAGTTTTGATTATGGGAATTTCTGTTGTCCTTGGGATGAGACGGATGGGAATCAATGAAAGCGAATCCGTTACACATCAACTGTAATACGAGAAGAGAACAGATCGAAGGCGCAAAGCTCACCGTGTATCTTAGCGAATAAATGAGTTATTTACCTAATCATGAACTGTTTATTTGACACGTGCCGGTGGCAAATCATTTTCTGAACAATCAGAATGAATCATCTGGTTGGTACGTTGGTTAGGTTAAACTCATGCGTTGACGTTCTCGGAGCAATAGTATCTTTTAGTCACATGGTAGGAAAAAAGTGAGTGAAAGGATGTGGTCCTGGGGACTAAAATGAAACGTACTGTTAACTAATCGGTTCTGTAAAACCAAAGTTCTTTGTTCGCGCACACACTAATCCAAGTAGTAAAAATGTATAGCCAAAATTCACGAGTTTTATACCTGCCAGCATTTTGTATATATCACGGTCACATTACAATGTACACTAATTAGCAACGATTCTATTTTGATAAAACGTAAATGGCGGCGCGAATTGCTGATTATGCAACATCTCCCCTCTAATAAAAGAAAAACAAAACTTAGGCCTTAGCTGAAAACATTGAAATTAATCAAATTGTCTCTCTAAGTCTTTTAGGTCTTGTAATCACACGTCTTGGTCGTTCACTGCTACTATTATCGCCACGCTTCATACTATCGGCAGGAACGGGAGTAATCTCTTGTGCTGGACGAATGAAGCGACGATTCCTCACTAACTGGGCTCCCTTAGTAGTTTC